TTGATGTTTTTTCTCCCGACCGCCTTCTTTTTCAGGCCGCGGTTCACTGGATGCGTTTCCCTGCTGCAGGTCGTCTCGTGTGGCGTGCCCGGTTTGCCTGGTGACCTTCGGATTCGCAGAGTGCCGGCCACGAGATTCAGTGGTCTCGCTCTCCCTTCTCCCCAGCAGAACAAGTATGATTGATTCTTGATGTGTTCGTCTCCTATGGGACTTCTGAGGCCCCTGGAGGCTTTGGGAGAACTCCAAAGACCTCCAGGGACCTCTGGAAGTCTCCTGCTCCTCCTCATCACCTCCGCCCTGCTTTTCTTCGACGCCGCGTAGGCGGGCTTGCGCACAGACAGCCCCTGGAGGTAGTCCCATTTGGCCTCAAGAGGACTCGATGGCAGTCCTGCGCGGTGTCGCAGCCTTTGCGCCACCTCCATCGCCGGGCTCGGTGTGTTGAGACCGCCTTTGACGACCCTGGGCTGGTTGAGGGTTGAGGTCAGTCTGGACAGCCTCCGCGGAGTGTCTGTGCGAAGTCCAAGCCCTGCCAGCACAAGGTCACTGCGCGCTACTCGCGACCACCGCAGCCGCCCCGGTGGATACCCACGGACGTTGACGACGAGAAGCCGTCCATCTTTCTAGACGACGTGCCCGGCACGAACGTCTCGGTGCAGTTCATGCGACAGGTACAGGTCCCCGACGTAGTGCTGAGGATCACGGCCCTCGCAATTGTCATGCACCAGGGCTCCATGTACCCAGCCGCGGGGGACGAGAAGAGGAGCAATAGGGAGGAGTAGGAGGAGGACGACGAGGAGAAGGAGACGGAAGAGGAGGAGGAGGAGGAGGGGAAAAAAGAGGAGGGGGCAGGAGGAAGACGCGAAGGGAGGAAGCGTGCGAAGAAATACAATCGTGGAGGAGGAGGGTGCCTCCCTTATCCCTCCTCTGTTCTCTCGCCACCCATGCCCCATACCCCCATACAACTTTATATACTTTTATATGTGTAGGGCACGCTGGGATCTCCTAAGAGGTTGTTTCTTGATGGGCCCGACCAAAAAAAACAACAGCACACCTTGCCGGAATTCCATGAAGTGAGAAATGCGTTCAATATGAAACGATCCCTTTTCTCCTCCCCCTCATCCATCTCCTCCGCCCTCCCCCTATTCCTCCTCCACCACTATCCTCCTATTCCTCCTCCGCCCTCCCACATCCTGATCCTCCGCCTTCCCTCTCCTCCGCCCTCCCCGCAAGGTCCACCGTTGGGTCCAATCTGGCTGGACCTCCAGTTTTATAACCTGGCGGGGACGCGAGACCCCAAAGTTCAATGCATTGTTGTTGGCGAGTTTTGCGCACCTTAGGCTTTAAAAACAGAACAGGAGACATCTGCTCCTGTACGTGGCGAACGGGACAATTCGCCTCCGACGGGGGCATCATCATCAGTAGCAGCAGCACCATCATGAGTATCGCCATCACCATCATCACCATCACCATCGCCATCAAAATCACCACCACCGCCATCATCATCATCATCATCATCATCATCATCATCATCATCATCATCATCATCATCATCATCATCATCATCATCATCATCATCATCATCATCATCATCATCATCATCATCATCATCATCATCATCGTCATCATCATCAGCAGCAGCAGCAGCATCATCATCATCATCGTCATCATCATCGTCATCATCACGATCATCAGGGTTGCGTGCTGCTTCGAGGACGAGCTGCGGCTGCCGGCGCCGTCGTCGACGTCGAGCGCCGGGTGCCGGAGCTCTACGACAACCGCGCGGATGGGTCGATCAGGGAGGCCGTCATGAACCTCGTGGTCGACTTCCCCGCGACCGCGCAGAAGTGGTGGCTCGATGTCAACGTGCAATCTCCCTTGGGTAGCGCACTGCCCGCCGCGAGCAGAGTCCCCGGGGCCGCGGCGGCAGCGGGTGACCAGAGCAAGGAGGCCCGCTACGGCGCCGACGTGCACAGCATCAGCGTCGAGTCGGGCGGGCGGCTGAGCGCTGGCGCAGCGAACGCGCTTGCGGACCTCGCGGCGGCGTCGAAGCTCTACGGCCGGCGTCAGCAGGGCGGGCGCCGCGGCACGACAGCGCGGGCGCTCGCTGAGCGTGTCTGCACGCTCGCCGTTGTCTGGGCCGCGGACACGACCCTGGCCGCCCTCGGCTACTAGAGGCGCCGCGGCTCCGCCCTCCCCCCTCTCCCTCCCTAGTTTTCCCCAGTGCAGTCCAGAGTCAGGCGTGCAGGAGGTTTGCGGAACATCATCATCATCACCGTCGCCATCACCGTCATCGTCATAGTTGTCGTCATCGCAATTGTATTCGTCATCGGCATCGGCGCCGTCATCGTCGTCGCGATCATCGCATGCATCGCCATGTTCATCTTCATCGCGATCTTCATCTTAATCTCTTCGCCGTATTCTTCGTAGCATTCTTCTTATTCTTTCACCTCGCCCCGATCATCCGCAGCAGACAAACTCCCTCGGGCCCGATCAGATCCTCTTCCTCCCTGCCTCGCCTCCCACTTCTCCCCCCTGTCTCCCTCGTCCTCCTTCCCGCCCCCCTCCTCGCTCCCTCCTCCCTTCTCCTCCCCCCCTCCTCATTCCTGTCTCCCGCCTCTCCCCCTTCCTCCCGCCCCCCTCCTCCGTCCTCCAGCCCCCCCTTCCTTCCCTCCCCCCTCGCTCCCCTTCCTCCGTCCCCTCCCGCTTTCCCCTCCCCCAGACCCCCCTTCCTTCCCTCCACCATCCCTCCTGCTTTCTCCCTTCCCCCCCCTCCTCGAGGTACCTCGCCGCCGGGGACGAGGAGGGGCGCGTCAGCGTCTTCGCGAGAGGCGGCGCCTTCCTCGGGAAGGTGGACGCCGCCAGCCTCCCCGGGGCGGGGGTGGGCGGGCTGCACGCGCGGTCCGGGGGTGCATCCTCCTCCCGCTGCTCCTCCCGCTGCCCCTGCTGCTCCCTTCTTCCCCTTCTTCCCCCCCCCGATCCCTCCCTGTTTCCCCTCCTCGTCCTCGTCCCCCTCCTTTTGCCTCCCCTTTTTCCGCCCTCCTGCCAGCAGCTCCTCCCTTCCTCCTCCCTCCCTCCTGCCAGTCTCGCGTGGATGATACTGTTCGTGTCTTGTGCAGTTTTCCAGCTTGCAACGTATGAGGCTTCAGGTGTGTGCGGGCGTCCTCGCTGCACTCATAGGGTGCTCGCTGGTGTCCGACGTTGGACATATCGTCCAAGCGGTGCCCAGACTGCCATATTGCGAGTGCGCCCCGCACGATTGCAGCATGCCATATTACGTAGACAACATGTCTGCGTATTGCTGTGCGACTTTTGCCCACTCCACGCGTGATCCTACGGTTGACGACGAGGAACTCACGCTTTGGATTGACGGCCTCATCCGTGCCATCATTGGTCTCGCGTTGGGCTCTGCCTTTGCGAAGTGTTTTGTGCCCGAAACGTGTTGCACGAATTCTGACAAAGAATGAAGGCAGGATTGGTGAGTGATGACTCGCGGAAGAGCGGCACAAGCAGCAATGTTCTTCGGTTGTACGCGTTCGTGTTTCAATGGAGCACGCATGTCCTAACATGTCTGCCACAGGGACTAGTTTGTTTTGATACGATGCCAATCGCAGGGCTTCGGCCAGTAGGGCCACGGCCTTCTAACACATGGCATGGCAGACGGACATCAGCTGCGTTGGCTAAGATGTTATGGCTGCGGCACTTGTGCTCGCAGCCTTTTTGCTTGAAGGGTTACCTTCTCTGAAACTCGAGTTGTGTGGAAATGGGCCAAATTCAGACACTTGCCCCGTGGATATTTGGCTAGTATATTGAATTGGTCCGTCATGCTCGCACGGTGTATGTTGCGCTGCCTTGATGTTGTGCGACTCGACTGCTCCCGAATACATGTCTCCTTTGAGAACCACCTGGTCTGGAAAATCCTAGATCTCGATCTGGCCCCTCCTTTCCTCCTCCTCCTCCTCCTCATCATCCTCCTCCTCCTTTTCCTCCTCTTCATTATCCTCTGCCTCCCCCTCCGCCTCTTCCGACTCCCCTCCTTTTCCCTCCCCTTCTTCTCTACGCCGACTGCTTCCTCTTTCTCTGCCTCCTCCGCCGCCTCCTCCTCCCCGATCCTCCTGCCCTCCCCCTCGGTCTGGGAGCCTCTTCTTCTGGGCTGGCGCGGAGTGGGGCCACATCGGCCTGCCCGGCCTCAAGGTCACGCACGTGGCGTGCCCTGAGCTCGAGGCCCCCCCCGGCGGCATCGTCGTCGCCGTCGCCGCCGGCCCACCCTCACCCTCTCGCTCCCATTCCTCCCTCTCGCCTCCTTCGAATCGTCCTCCTCGTTCGTCCCTCCGCTCTCATGCCTTCTGCCTCCCTCCTTCCGTTCCCCGCCCTCCTTCAGGTTTGCGCCCTCGCGCCCCCGCACGGGCCACTGGATCCGATGCGTTCCTTGTCGTTGCCGTTCCCGCCTCCTCCCTCCTCCGTCTTGTCCTGGCCCTTTTGCCCCCGCTGCTCCTGCTGCTGATCCGCGCTCTTCCTCATCGTGCTGCTCGTCCTCCTGCTCATCCTCCTGCTCATCCGCCACCTCATCCCCCCCATCGTCCAACGTACAACACCCCCCGTGAGATATTGCGCATCTCCCGATGGGTCAGTTTGGATACTCATGTCGTCCAGGACACCCCAGCCCGCAGATAGGAGGGGAAAGGGATCGGTGTAATCGGTAGTATGCCAGACAAGGCCCCAGCGCGCCTAGTTTGACCTGCCTCGCCTCTCCTCCCTCTCCGGGGGCTCACCTTCCCTGTCTCTGCGAGGGAGGGGCCCTGGCCCCATCCGGCCAGCAGGTTCCACATGCCTGCCTCCTCCTCCCCACCCCCTCCTTCCCCAGACCCCCGACGTCATGATCTTTTCGTGACGTCGATCCCCACAGGTCTCGACTCACTCCCCGGGACCGGTTTTTCATCCCGAGTCGCTGTTTGACGGTCCCGCGGCCGGGGTAAGGGCCCCAGGAGGCCGAAATTAGCGAAGAAGTTCGCGTCGTGATTTTTCATGGCCCGACGCGGTCTGGGTCCTCCTCCGCCTGCTGCTCTCCCCTGCGGGCGCCCCGCCCCGCGGTGCCCGTGGCCGCGCTGACGGTCGACCCGCAGCTGACCTCGAGGGTGATCCTCGCGGACGCCGCCGGCCAGGTCTGGGTGTTCCGCTTCCGGAGCTCCGCGAGCAAAGCTCTCGGAGGAGGAGGAGGAGGAGGAGGAGGAGGAGGAGGGGGAGATGGGGGGGGAGGAGGAGGAAGAAGGACGGATTAGGAGGAGGATCAGGAGGAGGAGGAGGAAGAAGAAGGAGAAGAAGAAGAAAAAGAAGAAGAATAAGAAGAAGAAGAGGAGGAGGAGGCGGAGGAGGAGGAGGAGGAGGGGGAGGAGGAGGCGGAGGAGGCGGAGGAGGCGGAGGAGCTTTCGAAGGCTGGTGCGGAGTTCTTGGGGCGGCGCTGGATCCCCTGGCGGCGCCTTTGGCGCCGCTCCCCGGCGCGCTCGGCGCGCCCGGGGAGTGGGCCCCAGCGACGATCCGAGAAATCCACGCGGACCTGCGAATGCTCGTGTGAATGCGCGTGTGGGGGAAAAGGTTCCGACACCGCTGCACGCTGGTCGTTGAAAGTAGTTAATTGGGGCGTTCGGATCCCAATCTACTTCAAGCGCCTTCCTACTTCAGGAATCGATGTGTTCTTGCTATGTTTTGTTATTCTCTGGGAGGGACTGAACCCAATCTACTTTACGCGCCTTCCTACTACATGTTTGTACCTACTTCTTCTGACCGACGGGTACTCCCCAGACCTCTACCGGACTTGCGTTCTGACCAGGACTTCAGGCGCATCCAGCCGTGGCGACGATCATCGATGGAAGGCCAGCGGTGTCGGCAATTACCCAGACATGCGATGTCCTTGTGTTTGCAAATGCGGCCCCCAGCAGTCCCGATCCTTTCCCTGGGACCAGTTTTTTATCCTGAGTGAGTCGTGATTTAACGGTTCCAGGGCCCGCAAAGGGCTCCCACAGGCCCAAAACTTCCAAAACCCTCCCGTCCTGATCTGTTTCACGACGCGAGCATGTTTGGGTACCTCTTCCCTATCTGGTCGCTTTCTTTTCAGACCCCCGACGTCATTATGTTTTCATAACGTCGATCCCCAGTTCCCCGGGACCGGGTTTTCATCCCGAGTCGTTTTTGGACGGCCACGCGAGGCCCCGTACGGGCCCCCAGAAGCCGAAAACGGCGAAAAATCTTCCTGTCGTGATTGTTTCATACCTCGAGCCCAGACCCCTCGAGTCATGAAGAGAGCACGACGCGAGGCTCTTCGCTATTCTCGGCCTCGAGGGGGCCCTCCCAGGGCCGCGGGACTGTCAAAAAACGACCCAGGACGGAGAAGCGGTCCTGGGTGGTGGCTCGAAGACCCCTGGGGCTATGGTGTTCCAACTTACTTCAGCCTTGATCACCAGAAAGAATTTCGAGCGCCAACAAGAGTACCGAAACTCAATGGTTTTCACGTGTCGGGCCCTGGGAGACACTCGCCCGACACTGCTTCGACACTCTTTCGACACTCTCTTGACACTTTTCTGGGTGCTCGAAGTTATTTCTGGGATGCGGTCCTTAAGTAGGATGGGAACAACATAACCCTGGGGGTCGGCGTCATTAAAAGATCAAGACCCCGGGGGCTCTGGGAGAGGGCTAGGGGGCCACATGCGAACCCTACCCTTGCCCCCCACGATTTCAGAGGGAGAGGGTGGGGTTCACTCCGCTCGGGAGCTCCCGAGCGAAGTGAACCCCCCCCTCCCCCTCAGAAGCCGTGGGGGGAACAGGGGCAGGGTTCGCACGTGGCCCCCGAAGGGTCGGGCCTCCCAGGAACCGGACGACCTGCAGGGTCGAGCGCCGCCTCCCGGCGGCCACCTCGCGCGGCCTGCGCGACCTCGCGCCCGTCGAGGGCTTCGTCCTGGGGCTCGAGGCCGGGCGGGCGCCCGACGCCCCCCTCCACCGGCGCTGGCCAGGGGCCCCCCCCTGGGCCCAGAAGGGGCGCGAGGTCCTCCTCCTCCCTTCCTCTCCTCCTCCGCTTCCGCCCTCCTCCTCCTCCTCCTCCTCCTCCTCCTCCTCCTCCTCCTCCTCCTCCCGCCTCGTCCCCCTCCTCCTCCTCCTCCTCCTCCTCCTCCTCCTCCTCCTCCTCCTCCTCCTCCTCCTCCTCCTCCACCGGCGTTGGCTGGGGGCCCCATCCTGGCTTGTCAATACGAGCCTGAAAACAACAATCAGCGCCCTGAGAGGTCCCCAGAGATTTAACGCATTGAAGAACTCAAGACGAAGGCTTTTTGTATTTTTCAGCCTCGAGGGGCCCTCGCCGGGCCCCGGGTCAGTCAAACAACGACTCAGGATGAAAAACCGGTCCTGGGGAATGGGTCGAGACTTCTGGGGACCCCGCATTGAGAAAATCACGACATCGGATCTATGGGTCAGTTCGCTTTTTCTTCGCGGCCCTGGGCCCCTCTCGGATCGATCTCTGCCTCGAGCGATGGTGCGGCGGCGGTGATCGCGCTCCGACGTTGCGAAAAAACGCGGCATCGCGAAAGATGACGCCCGGAGCCCAAGCCCCTATCTTTCTGCGTCACTCTTCGAGCTGGATCGATCTGTGAGGGCGCTTGGGCCCGTAACCTGGCGAACGCGCCCGTCGTGGAAAATTTGCAGCGCCCGGATCTGAGGGTCTTTCTTCTTCGCGGGGTTCACGGGACGGGGATCAATGCAAACGGGAGGATCCTGCCGAGCGGGGGGGCGTCGACTCGGGCTGGGGCGCAGGATCCTGCAGGATCCTGCAGGATCTTGCGGGACCCTGCAACGCCTGACTGACCCGAGTCTGGAGTGACCCGAGCCAGTAGATCCCCGACCTTCTACAGGGAGCCGTCGCGGACGGCGAGGCGGCGGTGATCGCGCTGAACATGACGCCCCCCGCCGACGCGGGCGGCGCGGCGGGCGCCGTCGTGTGGCGGAGGCGGTGGCCCGCGCAGCGGGCCCTGGCCGTGCACGCGGGCGGCGTGGAGCACGGCAACCTCGTCGCGGTGCTGTCGGGGGACGGGCGCCGTGTGGAGGTGCTGGAGCTGGTGATGAGCATGCGGTGGCAGCGGCGCCCCCCCCAACCCAGACCCCCTCGAGTTATGAAAAAATCACGACGGGAGGTTTTTCATTGTTTTTGGCCTTTGGGGGCCCTTACCTGCCCTCGGGACCGTCAAAAAACGACTCAGGACGAAAAACCGGTCCCGGGGAATGGGTCGAGACCTCGGGGGGTCGACGTCATGAACAAATCATGACGTCGGGGGTCTGGGAGTCGGGCAAAGAGAACCCTGCACGTGCACCGATCCTGGCAGGGCCCATCCTGGACCCAGGGCCGGTGCACGTGCCTTCCTGGCCACGGTAGGAGGGGGGCGCATGCACCGATCCTGGGCCCAGGATGGGCCCGGCCAGAAGCGGTGTGCGTGCATAGTCCTTTTGCCTCTACCCGAGATGCTTGCTATACGATACGATGTGTTGCAAAAAAACGAAGGATTGCAAAAAAAACGAAGGATTGCAAAAAACGAAGGTTTTTTTGCAATCCTTCGTTTTTTTTGCAATCCTTCGAGTCGGTGTACGTGCATAGTTCTTTTGCCTCTACCCGAGATGCTTGCTAGTCACTACGAGGTGTGTGTGTGTCGCGCACCCCTCGGGGGGGGGCGGCGCGCGCCCCGGGGGCACTCTTGCAGTGTGCGCCGCTCGTGGCGGGCGCGTCCCGGCCACGCCGCTCGGGAAGAGATGCGCTGCAAGATGGGTGTACGATTTGCATGTATATGCATATTATATATTTATACACATCTCTATATATACATATACATATATATATATGTATATACATATATATACTCGGGTCGGGCGCACGCCGCCAAGGAGGGTGTACAGTAATGGTGTTTGCATCTATCGGGCCGAGCGAAAGGGGGGGGATAGGGAAACGGGGGGTCACGAAGTCTGCGGCGTGCAGCTGGTTTCGGCCCCGCCGCCGGGCCCGTTCCTCGATACATGGGCGCCTCCAGGCGTCGGGAGGCGCCGGGAAAATCAGCTACTTGAGCTGATTCTCACCCCCCCCTTTGCTATCCCCCCCTTTCGCCCGACCCGAATGTATAGATTTACATATATATATATATATATATATATATATACACATCTCTCTCTCTATATATATTCGGGTCGGGCGCACGCCGCCAAGGAGGGTGTACAGTAATGGCGTGTCTCTGTGCGTCTCAGGGGTTGCGATGGATCCTCGTGGCTCTCGGAGCCGTCTGGGGTGTCTGCGACGGCCCAGCACCGGTGCCAGCCGGCAGGCAAGGCTGGCAGGCTCGAGGTGTTGGGCTCGGGAAGGTATTTTCCTTTTTTCGGTCTCCAGGGGCCGTTTTCGGGCCCAGGGACTGTCGAGCACGCTCGTGAATGTTGCACTCTGCGCTGTCCTTTCGCCGCCGGCTCTTGTCGCCATGGCACGCCTGCTTTTCAGTTTTAGGGCGTGACGCTTTCGGGCGTCCGATCGGATCTTTGTTGTTGCTGCTGCTGCTGTTGTTGTTGGACTGTCAGACGCGCGGGATCGCTTTTGAGCGGCTTCTGCCTCGCACCCCCCACTCCTGGCTGATTTTCCGGGGCCCCAACCAGTTCAGGCCCCCCGGCCGCCTCCAGCGTGAATCGCAGAAGAAAGTGACACGCCCGGATACGCACGTGCTGGTGCCCAGTTGGAACTGAATTTTCAGTTTGAGCGTGTTCGCACGTTTGGTCCTCCGTCCCCTCCCCGCACCCCTTGGCGGCCTCTCTCCTGGCGCCGCCCCGGACGGGCCGGGGCGGGGGGGAAACGGGGTGCGGAGAGGCGTGCGGCCCAGCGCCGACCCGCGCGGATATCGAGCAGTCTGTGTGTGCCGTGCTGTGGTTGGTGGACTCCGCATTTTGCGGATGGCAGTCCTCGGACTCCTGGAATGGTCCTACTTCCTCGCCGTCGCCCCCGCGCCCTGGCAGCGCCCGCGGGTGCGCCCTGGCCTCGGCCCCGGCTGCTGCCGCGGTCCCCGCTGCCCCGGCTGGCCGCTCCAGCCCGCTCATCGCGGAACGCTTCCACGTCTGAGCGCCCTCCCCCTCTTCCCTTGGCGCGGCCGCCCTCGCCTTCACTTTTTTTTTTTTTTCTTTCTCTCTCTTTCTCTCTCTCTCTCTCTCTCTCTCTCTCTCCCTCCTCTTTTTTTTGTTTCTCTCTCTCTCTTTCCCTTGCACGCCGTGCAATGTGCCATTGGTTGCCCCGATTCGCCCCACGCTAGTGCGAACTGCCTCTGCCTCGCCGCCGACCCAAAAAAGTGCCGTTCTGTGGTTCTTGTGTTGTTCCCCGAGACCCAACGTGCATTACCATCTTCTTGTAAGAGATATCCCCCGCCAGGATGGGCTTTAAATCGTCTTTGAATCTGAGTACCGGATTCCAAACAGCGGGCCCAGTTTCTTAACCTCTGGATATGTGTCCGGATCTTCCGCCAAATCTTATGCCAAAGTGTTTTCCGGATCTCCCCGTAAATATCCCCCAGATGTTCGTCCAGATGTCCTTCCAGACCTTCTTCCAACCAAATCTCCCCCAAGAGGTGAAGAGATTCAGCGAAGCTGGGTCTCGATTTATTACGAGAAGGTTCTCAGCAAACGTTTTGAGTGCATTAAAAAACAACCGACGGGGAAATGTCCTCGTCGGTGGGGGGGGGGCTTGGTTGAGAAATGCGCCCAGGAGGCTTCAGACCGTGAAGGGTTCCGTATCTGGTGAATGCGGCGGCGATATCCACGGCCGCTCCACGATTGGAGCTCCGCAGGCTTCCAGACCCCGGATTTCTTATCCAGCGGTTCCTTATCCAATGCCTTCACCGTGCATTTTGGCTCAAGCGGTCGCACGGCTCGGCGCCCCCTCCGCGGCGGGCACGCCTAGAGGGGCTCTTATGGCGGACGCTGCCGCTGTCGTCGAGGCGGCGGTGCGGGGCGCCGCGAATGACAAGGCCCCGGGGCGCACTGTAGCTGCCGTGGCGCGTTCGGCCGTCAGCGCCGCGCTCTTTGCGCTGCGCGAGTTGTCTGCGGCGCGTGCAGCTGACGGGCGCACCCCTTGGAGCCGATTATGATGCTGTTGCTCCTGCTGCCGCCTCGGCGGCCAAGCTGGATCGGCGCCGACGCCGCCGCCAGCGCCTTGCTGGGCGGCGTGCCCTGGAGCGGGGAGAAGCGGCGGCGATGACGGACGTGGTGGACTGCGAGGCTGGCGCGCCGTTGGCGCTCGTCGGCCTCGAGCTGGCCGCCATGAGCGTCAGCGACGACGGCCTCCCCGACGACTCTGAGGCAGATGCTGATGGTGCTGCGGCCCTTGCGGAGCCGTCGGAGGCCGCTGCTGGTGCGGCGGTGGCGGCGGATGGCGGAGCTGAGGCCGCGAAGGAGCCAGTCGTGGCGACCCCGGCGGAGCCCGCCTCTGCACCTGTTGCTTCGGCGGGATCGGCTGCGGGCGGTGGCCATCCGCGCGTTCATCCAGCTGCTGGAGGCGTAGCGTGCCCAGGGCATGCCCAAGGAGGCCGTCCAGAAGCTGGCCGTCGGCCTGGGTCTGCCCCCCGCTGGGGCCTGGCGCCGCCGCTGGGACCTCAGCGGGCGGGCGGCGCGGGGCAGGCGGCCCGCGGGTTCGTGACGCCCCAGCTCGGCGTCTGAGCGGGCGTGGCCTCCCCATGGGGTCGTCCGTGCCCCCGTGAATTCAGCGCGTGGCACGCGCGCCCTTTGCGCGCCCGGAGAGTTAGCATGAATGCTTCACCGTGTGAGGCAAATTCGGACATGTGGCTGTTTTCTTATGTATTCGTTTTGCCGATCGGCGCGGGCCCTCGCGCCCCCCCTCCCCCCCTCCACGGAGTTGATTTTGGCCGTGTTTGTCGCTTGTTTCAAGCAGGTGGAGTTTCCCCCGCAAGACGCACTGCTGCAAGCAGTTGCGCTAAGCAGAGGTCCGGAGCCAGACCCCCCACCCACCCACCCAGACTCGCCCAATGTCGAAACTCCGAATCAAACGTTCACCATCGTATCTCTGTTTCTGGTCCCGAGGTGGGGCCCAGAGCCGTTGGACTACTGGGAGTTCCTGCCGCTCATCCTGATCGTGGTGGTGGCCGTCGTCGTCCTGGTGGGCCTCCTGCACTGCTACCTGCAGCAGCGCCGGGAGGAGGCCGAGAAGGCGGCGAGACAGCTCGAGGAGGCGGCGCGCAGGGCGGAGCAGGATACCGGAGAGCAGCAGAGCGCAGACAGCAAAGAGGACGAGAAGGAGGAGGAGGAGGAGGAGGAGAGCGGGAAACGCCCGATGTTGAATAGCAGCGCAAGAACGTCTTACAGCATCAAGGTCAATTGTACACCATGCTCGCCCCCAACACATCCACGGGGGATCACTATGGGCACGCGCCGGCCGGACGACCACAAGGAAGCAGCTACGGGCACGCGCCGTGCCCAATTTGTGTGTTTGTTTCCCCCCTTCTCTCTCTCCCTCTCCCTCTCTCTCCCTCTCTCTCCCCAGACCACCTCGAGTCATGCAAGAGTCACGACGCGAGTTCTTTTGCAATTTTCGGCCTCTGGGGGCCCTTGCCGGGCCGCGGGACCGCCAAAAAACGACTCAGGATGAAAAGCTGGTCCTGGGAAATAGGTCGAGACTCTTGGGGGCCGACGTCATGAAAATATCATGACGTCGGAAGTCTGGGGAGCTCATCACAATTCGGGCGGGTGTCAATGGGGGGTTGTTTAAAATCAGGAGGGGAAAAAACACACAGACACAATGAATCGTCGATCCCCTAGAAAATATGGGAAAATATGGGAAGTGGGGGCGAAGACAAAAACCTCGATAATATAAGAAAATATGGAGATTATTTTTATTTGTGTGTATTCATTTGTGTGTCCTGGGGCCCCTTCATAAAAGGGGAGTCAAGAGATGGGCCCTAATGGGCCCCTTCGGGGCCCCTTTCTTCACCCCCCCCTTTCCCGCGGGCGCGCTGACAGCGATGTAGGCAATTGCGGCGTAGGTTTCGGCAGTGTAAGGGGGGGTGGTTTGTGGCCAACCCTAGTGTAGGAAAGCGATGTTCGTGTTTTCCTACAGTTTCCTTTGCGCGAGTTCGGCGTCGCAAAAAACAAAACACACGCACACACACATTACCAACATCGCTTTTCTCCCACATTTCCGTGAGCGTCCTTTCCTTTTGGCCGCCACCCAT